CACCACCCAGACTCAGATCAGACCTCGCCGTCCCTGGGGGGCTGTGATCTGCGAAACTGTCGCCACTTTCCGGGCCTGCTGGGGGGTTCAGCGGAGTGAGGCACCACCCAGATTCAGATTTGACCTCGCCATCCTTGTGGGGCTGCTATCTGCGAAACTGTCGCCACGTTCGAAAGGGGTGCTGGGGGGCTCAGCGGAGTGAGGCACCACCCAGACTCATATTAGACCCCGCCATCCATGGGGGGCTGCGATCTGCGAAACCGTCACCAGTGTCGAGGGCTGCTGGAGGGTCCAGCGGAGTGAGGCACCACCCAGACTCGCAGTAGACTTCGCCATCCCTGGGGGGCTGCGATCTGCGAAACCGTCGCCACTTTCGAGGGCTGCTGAGGGGTCCAGCGGAGTGAGGCACCACCCAGATTCAGACTAGACCTCGCCATCCCTGAGGGGACTGCGACCTGCGAAACTGTCGCAATTGTCGAGGCTTGCTGGGGGGTACAGCGGAGTGAGGCACCACCCAGACTCAGACTAGACCTCGCCATATTTTGGGGGGTTGCGATCTGCGAAAGCGTTTCCACTTTTGAGGGCTGCTGGAGGGTCCAGCGGAGTGAGGCGCCACCCAGGGACAGACGAAACCTCGCCATCCCTGTGTGGCTGCGATCGGCGAAGCTGGTGCCACTTTTGGGGTTGATGGAGGGTCAGCGGAGTGAGGCACCACCCAGAATCATACTAGACCTCGTCATCTTTGGGGGGCTGTGATCTGCGAAGCTGCTGCCGCTTTCGGGGGCTGCTGGGGTGTTCAGCGGAGTGACTTCAATTGAAAAAACACATATGTTACCGCAGGGGGGATTCATAATAATTATCATTCAGTAGTGAAAGTCCAACAACAACACCAACAACAGCATCAACAAGAACAGCAGCAACAACGACAACGACGACCACAACAGCAGCAGCAGCAACAACAGCACCACCGATAACTGCAGCAGCATCAGCAACAAGAACAACGACAATAACAACAATCCGCACCGCAGAACCCCACTTCAGCCACGCGCCCAGTGAGAGTGAATGACCGTTCGGCCCCCTCACTCTGATAACGACGATCGGGTCGGGCGAAAGGGGGGGATTGGGAAAGGGGGGGTTACGACATTTGCTGCATGCAGCTGGTTTCGGCCTCACCGAGGGGCCCATTCCTCTATACATAGCCGCCTCTGGCGCCGGGAGGCGCCGGGAAAATCAGCTACGGGAGCTGATTCTCAAACCCCCCCTTTGCTATCCCCCCCTTTCGCCCGACCCGAGACGATGTCGGCAAGAAGGCAAGAGGGTACAACCGTTGCAGTTGCCGTTCTGCCGTCCTGCCCTTCCGCCCGCGCGCCAAACATCAAGGACCAAGGTGCATGGCGCGAAGCGCCAATGTAGTCTTGTACGTTATAGGTATATGTATGTGTATATAAGTACGAACGTGTTACGTATGTAAAACATTGTTGTACGTATGCCCGAATGCACATACGCTTGCACACCACCATACATACACATACATACGTACATACATACATACGCGTGCACCTATACATACAAACATACGCACACGCATACACACCAAGCTGCAACACAAACCAATAATAGCATACCAAAGTGTTTAATGTACTACAGAGTGCCATTTCTGAATAGTACAGGTTCCCTCTTCGTCTCTCTTCTCCTGTCTCTCTCTCTCGCTCTCTCTCTCTCTCTCTCTATATATATGTATCACTCCCGGGTGTCTATTCAGAACCATGCGGTTGCCGCTTGTCTCCGGCCTTGCTTTCAGGTGACGATGCCGATGGAGTCGATGCAGCAATCAAGGAATTGGCTGCTCTAGAGGAGCTACATGTTTGCTATGACTTGTTCAACATGCATCACATACTTGATCAGTGACCGTCCCGTCTTCTCTATCGCACTGCTGCTCTCCATCCATCTCTCTCTCTCTCTCTCACTCCGTTTCTGTCTCTCCCTCCCTGCGTCCATTCGTACATGCATCCTGTCATTCTTCCGACTCGTTAACATCTGCTTGGGTCCGTGGTTCTATCCAGCTGCCTTCGGCAAGTCCGCCACCTTGCCAGCTCATCCTTTGGGGCGGCGTCCCGCAAGGGCTCCGCTTTCGCTGCCGATCCGACCCCTCCACTCCAGGTTAGTGCCAAGGCCACGCGGATGCCGTGCAGCCGAAGGAGGAGGACAGGAGGAAGCGTCTTCGGCTAATTGGAGGCTTCCTGGGCGTTTTCTTTAAGTCTTCAGGAGCCCGGGAGGCCAGCCTAGTTCTGGTCGCGCACCATTGCTCGGTGTTTCACAGTAGTGGGGTGGGAGGCCTCAGGAGCGGATTCGCGATGCTGTGCACGAGGGGGGCGATTCCATGGGAGGTTAGAGGGCATGAAGCCTCATGACGGGGGGCAGTCGCCCAGACCCATTTGGATCATACATATTCGTAGGGCACGAGCATGGCAATATTTCCTGAGAGACAGCCTGGACACTCCTCCTCCACCTCTTCCTCCGACTTTCGTGTTCCTCCTCCTCCTCCCCTCGAGGCACGGTTGCGGATGTGCCCAGACGAGGTGCGGCACACGACGCAGAGAGTAGCGCGTTGGGTTCGGTCGGCCACTCCGCCCAGGTCGCCGCCGTAGGGTCCGTAGCCTCGTCGCGGGTGGCTCTTCTCCCGGCCCCTGGCCGGGCCTGTCTGCTTGCGGTTGTTTCCCCCCCCTCTTGTCGTCTTCTTCCTCCCTCCCCTTCTGCTCGTTGCTTCCCTCCCTTTCCTTTCCTCCTGCTCCCTGCCTGCTGTCTCCGCCTGGCTCCTTCTCTGCCTGCCCGCCCGCCCCGCCGACCCTAGACCTCCCGCCTGGACGCTCGTCGTCGTCTGCATGCTTCTCCCCTCCTCGCCCCCTTCCGCCAGGCATCACAGCGTGCCCGGGACCAGCGTGGCGGCATGCAGGGTTTTTTGGCCGGAGGGCATGTAAGGATGATGATGTTTGTTTGTTCTTCTATGGAGGCTAGCGTTACACATTTGCTTGCAGGAGTACTGCTCCGGACCCGAGTTCGTGGCGGCCATTCAGGACGGCGCGCTCCTTCGAAGCTGTTTTTTGTGAGAGTGTGAGAAGTGTAGTGGCGAGTGTCGATAGCGGTTGAGTTGTGCAGATACTGAAGCTGAACGCCCTCAGCGCTGATGCCTCCGAACCCGGCTGACGGCCTGCGCCGAGAGGATGCAAAACAGACAGATTGAAGTGGTTGTGCGCTGCATGCTCATGCTGAGCAGGCTTGCGGCTGCGATCCGCCGGCGCCCAGAGACGAAGCAGGGAGAGCCGGCGAAACCGAAAGGTCAGTGGGAGGAGCATAGGCGGTCGGCGAGATGGGCTCCACAAGATCTGCCGCCCCCGGCACCGCAGGACGTGCGAAGAGGAGGGGGCAGGGTATCCGTGCCGAGCTCCAGGTCGGCGCGGACAACTGCTCCACCATCAGGCGTCTCCTCATCCCTTTTCCTCCTCCTCCTCCTCCTTCTTTTCCTCCTCCCCCTCCTCCTCCTCCTCCTCCTTCCTCCTCCTCCTCCTCCTCCTCACACCCTCCTCCTCCCTCCTCCGGCCTCAGTCCACCGCAGCGTCCCCCTCCTCCCCTCCTCCACCTCCACCTCCTCCTCCTCCCCACCACCCCTCCTCCACCTCCTCCTCCTCCTCCTCCTCTTACTCCTATCCTTATTCCTTATTACAAAATACTCCTACTCCCCCGCCTCTCAGGCCGGCAGATAGCAGGCGCATCCGGGTGGGTCCCCATCCCCTAACCTGTAAAAAAAGCAATACAAAATCAACATTTTCCCTATTTTTTCCTCTCGACATGGACGTCCTGTCGTCCACGGCGATAATCCATTGCAAAAAATACCACAAAGAGCACACGCGCGCGTTCATGTCAGAATCCTACCGAACACCGTGTGTTTGCAAGCATTTCAACATAAAAACATCAAAAACCCAATGATTTTTCACAAAAATTGTACAAATTTCCCGCCCGGGCTCTCTTGCTGAAATCATAGGAAAACCATAGGAATCTTAAGAATTCGGTCAAATCCAGCGATTTCACGTCATCGCGCGGTGCACTCGCGATGCTCTGTCATGCACCCAGGCCGCGAATCCTGTGCAAAAAAAAATACAAAGAGCACACTCGCGCGTTCATGTCAGAATCCTACCGAATACCGTGTTTTTGCAAGCATTTCAACATAAAAACATCAAAAACCCAAAACCTCAAAAACCCTATGCTTTTTTTCACAAAAATTTGAGCTTTGGGGTGTCCCTGTCAAGACCGTCGGGCTTTCCTCCGGCCACCTCTGGCTTCCTGCGGTGGTACCGGGCCATTCTCGACTTCGACTGGAAAATGCGTGCGCGGCATTCAAACACGCGCTCGCCCCAGTTCCCGTCGGCAACCGCATGCGGCCAGCATCTCCGTACCAAACCGGACTGGCCGGTGGACTTCGCGGCCCCCAGATTTGTGCCAGCTTTGCTTCTTATGTTGTGGGAGGGCGGGTGGGACTGGGCATGCCATGCTTGACTCGCTCGAGCTGGCTAGCTTGACTCCTACTCCTACTCCTACTCCTCCTCCTCCTCCTCCTCCTCCTCCTCCTCTTCCTCCCCCTCCTCCTCCTACTTCTCCTCCTCCTCGTCCTCTTTCAAGCCGTCTCGGTTCAGAACATTTTGTTCTGAGCCCGCCCTCGCCTCCCCGTGGCGTTTGAGGGACACCAGAAGCGGCAGTGTTTTGACATCGCTCCGACAGGTTGAGTAACGATGGCAGTTTCCCACATTTTCTCCTTAGCCATGGCCAAGAAAAAACAAGCGAGCAAGTCTCAAGCTCACGCGGCCCCTCCTGACAGCACCGAACCGTTTCCCAATGGATGGTCTACATGTCAGAAGTGCGGCCGGCAAGGGAGGAATCGAGTTCAACTACAGCAACGTTGTCGGTGTCCGAAGTGCTACGCAGAGATCTCGCTGCATCGCCCAAAGGTCATTCCCAAGTACAGCAAGGGAGGCCAGAACGGCAATTACCTCGCGTTCATTCCAGGACCGCCGAGTTCGGCAGCCACCGCATGTTTTCCGACGGCGGCTCACAAGCAGGCCTTGCTAGTCACCACCGATCCAGGGACGAAGGCCGTCCTCACAGCCCACGTTCATAAGCTCAAGACCGACGACGGCATCACCTCCGAGATGGCCACCACGCCCGAGAAGTCGGTACGGCGGGCCACTGCAGCAGTGCGTGACGCGGCCACTAAGCATGATCAAGCAGTCCAGGCACTCCTTCGCGCACGTGAGGTTGTAGAAAAGGTTAGAGAGCGTAAGGCTGCAGCGGCACTCACCCTCGCGAGGGCCGAGAAGCCCAAGCAGAACTCAATGGAGTCGCACCCGAAGTTGACGGCGCCGCTGCCAGCTCCTGCACCAAGGGGCAGGCCCTGTTCTCCGTCTCCTGGGATGAGGAGTTCTTCATGGGCTTGGACACGGTGGAGGTCAGTGACACGGAGAAGGCAAACCTCAAGCGGATCGAGGCCGACCTCCGATCCGTTCGCGACTCCGCGGGCAACGGGTCGTCCGAGGCCCAAGAGTGGCTCTCCAAGTGCCAGGACACGCAGGGCGCCATCATGCAGTGCGCGGCCAAGAAGCGCAAGGGCAACGACGGCAGCACCGCGGCAGGCGCCAGCGGGAGCGCAGCCGACGGAGGCGGCAGCGGCAGCGACCCGCGCGGCGAGGAGGCGCAGCCCACCACGGGCAATGCCAGCAGCTCAGCCGCAGCGGGGCCCGCAGCCGGTCAGGCCCCCAGCGGCGAGGCCGAGATCACCGCCGAGGCGCAGCGGATCAGCGCGGCCAAGCTCGCGGCAGCTCAGGCGGCAGCGGCGGCGGCAAACAGCACAGACAAGCGATGCACGCCCGGGGGCCGCTCGAGCAGCCAGTCGCAGGGTCGCCGACTGCATCGAGCGCGGCTCCCACGGGGTCAGAGCCCTCATCGTCTTCTAGTGAGACATGGATTTTGCTGCCAAAGTCACTCTGCTTAGCAGGAAGCCCCGGGGCTTTCTCACGAGCGGCAGGGCTTCTAGCTACAGCGTCACCGCCGCGCGCGAGACTCGCGTCGAATCTAGCGATCACATTGCTCGTTGGAATTCGCTGGCCAGCAGGGCCGAGACGAAGTTATCTGCGACCCCGCTCGCAGCTCGGGCAACGGGTCGACCTCGGCAGGTCAAGTTCGCGCCAACGAAGGGGGGGGCGGGGGGCGCATCCTCAGCAGGAAGCGCCTCCAAGTCCATTCCCTCGCGCATCCCGACGGGGCGTGGAAGGGCCCAACAGCTGGTGGTTCCTCTTCTCTGGGCGGGTTCCTTGCAGTAGTTTGCCATCAGAAAGAACGCCCGTTGATCTTAGTCGCGCGTTGCGCCCGCTCGGGCGAAGGACGCCGCGGGCGCGCTCTCCCTCGGCCCGCTCGTCTCGGCGCTCTTCCCCGGCAGCGTCGTTCCCCGTGGATTGCGGCGGGGGTCGGAGATCCCCCCCGATACCTTCCAGCGGGTAGGTTTCGTTGACCGGGTCGATGGCGCGATGCGCAGATGCCCCCTGCAGCGCGCGCGCGCCCGCCAGGAGCAGGAACTCACGTTGACTTCGCGCTAACTAGCGGAGCCAGCGCCCCGTTCATCTCGCGCGTGGAAGCTCGGCTCGACGTTCCTTGGCGGCCGCGCTGCGGCCTAGTCATCGTCTTGCGCAGTTCCAGTCAGCAGCTACTCTGACGGGCGCTTCGCTCGGCCCCGAGGCCCAAGATGCCGCCGCAGGCTGGGTCCAAGTCTAGCAAGAATCGCGCTGATGCCGCGGAAGAGAAAGACGCGCCCCTCGCATCTTTGCCGACGAGCAGGGCAGAACTAGGGGCTGCTCGGAGATTCGAACGAGGACGCCGAATGCACCTCAACTTCGCAAGTTCAGTTTTTGCTTGGCGCCTCGGTCGACGGAAGCGGGGCCCCCCCCTCGTTCGCCCCCCTGGCGGGGTCTCCTCCTGGCGGGGCGTGGGGGCCCGCCATGTCCGAGTCGCAGGCTTGCGAGTTCCAGCTCGATCAAGAAGCCCGCGAACAAAGCTTCGAGGTCGTG